TTGGTACCAGGGATTGAAATTGGGACCTTGTGCTTGTGAGGCAGACGGTTGATAATGTATTTTGAGGATGGATTTGAAATGTCTTTATAAGTGAAAGACAAATATAGTGTTCCTTTTGAGAAACTTCTTTGGTAGGAAAGGGACTGGTTTGCCTTATAACAAATTCTAGAAGCTTTTGTCTTCAGGAACTTGAGTTAGAATGAAGAAAATAAGAATTTCACCATTTCATGATTTGACCGAAAAAAAAAAAAAAAAAAGATTTCACATCTTTTCATAACTGAATACATTTGAACTTTATATTTTGATCTTGGAAATAGTTGTGTGTTGACACAGTGTCTCAAACTAATGTGGTCCTGAATGAGATCAAATCCTCGACTCAAAGGCTGAAAGCAAGAAAGATACCAGATGAACCTGGAGATAAGATTATGTCAAAGGGGACACAGGAGACAACTGAACAAAATGATCATAACAAAAAAATTCGAGAAACAAAATAAATGGAATGTTTGTACTAGCTATAAATGAATGATTAAATAATTATGTAAATGTAGTAAAACAAATTTTCCACACAAAAGAATTACAAATAATATATCTAGATGTTTCTTACTCCGGGAGGCAGGGCCTAATTCCACCCCTCTTCCCTTGAGGGTGGTCCAAACTTATCACTTTTAAAGAACAGATTGTGGAAGTGGAAAAAAAGTACTTGTAGTCGACAAGCCTGAGATACACTGTGTTAACCAAGCGACCAAGGTTAATCTCACCTGCAGTGTTCTGTGTGTATCATATGCCATGGTGTGTTGTTCTAAATGCAGTTCACCTTAGTGCAATTGTTTCAGAAAACATATAACTAAGACTAGAGAAAGAAAGGACATCCCATGAGAAAACCCCCCTGATAGCCCTATGTTGAAGGTCATTCTAGAACTACCTGAACAGTATTCCTCAAAACTGTGAAGGTCACAGAAAAGAAGTAAAGTCTGAAAATTGCTTGTCACAGACCCAAAGAGGAGACTGAGGAGAAATGATAACTGCATGCAGTGTGGTAACCCCAGTAGAACAGTGGAACAGAAAATGAACACTAATGTAGAAAACTGGTGAAATATGGGTAGCATCTGAGCTTCACTTATGTGGGTAGTTATATGCCAACATTGGTTTCTTCATGTTGAGAAATGTACCATGGTGATGGAAAATGTTAATATTAGGGGAAACTGAGCAAAGGGTGTGCGGACAACCTGTACTGGCTTCCAGCATTTCCATAATTGTAAACTTATTTCAAAATAAAGGTTTGGAATTTTGCTTATTTTAAAAAAACCCAACTTGTTGATTTTTTTGATTGTGTGAAATCAAATCATGTGAAGAATAGAAACTGTTCTGTGTCAACTAATTTCTTCCAGCTAGCATGTTTTCTTTTTACTATTTTCCCTGTAGAATATGTTGCCAGTATTTAGATTTATAAGTTCCCTCATTAATAAACAAAATTTCATTCATATGTAAGGTTTAATGATCTTCTAAAAGTCATGTTAATGTCTGATACTTTTATAATATGTAGTAAGGTTAATAAGGTGCCAGTTAAGAGTTGTTTATTTTGAAGGGAAGAAGTTAGTGATTTATTATAGTGGTTTAAAGGATCTGACTTGTGATTGTTTTGAGAATTAGGATTTTAATAGCCTTATGTTAATACTGTTTTTGATCATAATATAACATTTTGGGAACATAAGAAATCACTAAGTTAAAATGTAAAATTAATGAAAGAATAAAATAATTTTAAATATAAACTTTGTTGTTAACTCTGAAAATAAGTAAATTTCTTTTTTTTTTCTAGATTTATTATCTAGGATAGATTTGGATGAACTAATGAAAAAGGATGAACCACCTCTTGATTTTCCTGATACCCTGGAAGGTTTTGAATATGCTTTTAATGAAAGTAAGTTTATTCTATGCAAACCGTACTTAACAGTGTTAAAAGGATCCTAGGGTAGATATTATTTGCTACTTCTAAAGGCCAGCTGGAATGTTTTATGTATTTCTTATGAGAAGTAATTCTTTGTGTGATGAAATCCTTCACTGTAACAATTTCCCGTACATGTCAGCTCACATAAACTGATGGACATGAGTTTGATTGAGTTTATGCATTTCGACCTTGAGTGTTCAGCTCTCTGATATGCAGCTGAACTCCTAATTAAATTATACAGGAAAATAGAGAGATGCTACTACTTCACATGCTATTTAAAGTGAAGGGGCTGGCAATTACTCGTGACAGTGTTTTAAAGGAAATTACTCAATTTTCCATGTTTTTTCAGCCAACAGTCTTGTCTTAAAATTCATAAAGTTTTGCATAAAATAAGCTTTATACTTGGCATGTGGAAGAACATATCATAGATTGCAGATATGTTTGTGGAACAAAGAATTATGATTCATTGGATTAAAAATACACTTATACTTGAAGGGTGATGTTATTAGAGGGTAGGTAGTTTTTGAGTTGTAGTTTTCTGTTTGTTGCTGCTCTGAGTCAAATTGAATTGTGATCTGTCATCACTGTATTAACTGTATAGTGAATGTCCCTTTACAGTATCGGTTATAGGTGTCAGAGCTTCAATTCTGTGCACTAGAAAGTTAAATGAGTTTAAATAGAAGTTACTAGAAACTGATCAGTTTTTTATTTTAGATATTTTAATGATTTTTCATAAAAATGTTTTATGCCAGTGTATGTATAAGTATTGATATTTTATTGCCTGAAGGTGTGGAAAAGTTAAAACAATTGGCTTATGATCTATTTTTATCCTGATTACAAAGAGAATATTTCTGGGGAAAGAAAAATGACAGATGATCTGTCTTTTCTCCTCAAAATGTGCTGGTAATTAAAGCTTTTAGTAAGTACAGACCAGTATTTGCTATGAGGAGAGTCTTTCCGTGGAGTGCTTTGACATCCTTGTCTGGTTGAGCATTACTCATGGTAAACCGTCTTTGATGTATGAAGGATATTTCTCTGAATAATAATATCTCAGAAGCACTGTGACTTTGGCATACAGAGCCAAAGGTTCTCAACCAAATTGCTCACCAGTGTGTGAAGTAAGCTGTCTGCTTCCCTCGAGACCTCATCTTCTCTGGGCCAAAAGGTTCTATCTATCAGAATAAAGGGCTGTCTCGGTGAGTCTGATTTTACAGTCTGCACCTTTTAGCTCACTGACCCTTTCCCTTTCCCTTTTGATATCTTACTCATGTTTTGAGCCTACTTGTAAAAGGTCACGGAAGACTTTTGACCCTTTGTAGCCCATTAGGTTCTTCATTTTTACAAAATTATTTTAAAGTTTAACTGCCTGCATGGATAAATTATTCCTTCTGGTTTGTTTAATTTCCTGAGAAGTTGCTTAGCTTTTTAATATATATGCTTTCGCTCTTTAGGTGGGCTCCAAACTCCATGAGAACTGGGACTGTGTGTCATGGCAGTGTCTGGTAGAGATCCTCCTATGTAGTAGGCCCTGAAGTATTGTTAGTCCGATTTATATTAGTGAGATGAAGACCAACAATAGTTTTTGAATACTTATGGGCCATTATTTTATACTAGTAATAGGTTCGCATCATATTGATATTAGAGGAAGAGATCTAGAGAAAAATAAAACTGAGACAGTTAAATTGTTATCAGATATTTATTGTACTTTCCATATTATTTTAAATATACTCTTTATTATGGCAATATTTTTTTTTCTAGAGGGGCAGCTAAGACATATAAAAACTGGGGAACCATTTGTTTTTAACTATCGGGAAGACTTGCACAGATGGAACCAGAAGAGATACGAAGCTCTGGGAGAGGTATGTCATGTATACTTTCGAACTCTGTGTTTTGCAATTATAAATGCTTAGAATAAATGTTCTGAAGATGTAGCAGCGTATGCCTCTTGACGGGAATAAAAAAAATTAAGATGTATTATGTACATGCCTGAACACTCTCTGATGAGTGATTAATCAATATTTTCTGCGAATAGTATATAATAAACAATAATATGTTTTGTCTCTTTGTATTGGGTTGTTTTTAAATGGCTATGTTAGAAACATAAGTCTTAGTTTAAAAATTTCTGTTATATACCAATGTATCCTTTCTGTGACCTTAAATTTTGTACTGAGACATTTTATAGGAAAACGAATTTATGCCAAATTATATCTTTTTAAATGTTGAAAGATGGAGTCTTCCAATGTACCAAGGGAAATAAATGTTCTTTAAAATGTTTATTTACATGAAGAAGACTTGAGTTTTTGGCCAGATAAGTTGAAGTTAGCCTACTTGCCTTTGACTTGCAAAGCGGGTAGGTCTCGTGAAATTTAGAACTCACACGTGATAAAACTGGCAGGAGCCTTTAAAAATGTCACTTGTAATTTAGGTGAATATTTTGTTAAAGCTAAAAATTTTGGTCATTCTATATCATCATTTTATTTTTAATAAAATACATATGGATGCATTTGTTTAGCAAGTTAACTAGACAGCTACTTTACTTAAAAACAAGCTGAAATTTATATTTTCAACTTTGACTGTTTAACAAAGTAATCAAAATGGATTATTTGATTAAATAATAACAGGAAATATATGATAGCATAAATAATGGCCTAAGGAATTTATAGTGTTCTGGGAGACAGCTCTCCTGGGCGTTTTGCATTTCTGCGTGTCTCTTGAGCAAAGGCTTTGACAACTTTTGTTCTAGACAATTGTTCCAAGGATTTTTTGTGCAGGATACAGGCATCAAAAGTAGAGATTGTGCCTCCTGCCAAGACATTAGGAAAATTTGTTTACTCCTTAAAATAATAAATACAGTGCTCCTTCCTTCCCTCACCAATAGCAAAGAATGGTAGGTTTGCTAGCAGCCCCTTTAGAAGATTGGGTTTGCTGAGTGTGAAGTTCCTTAGCTTGTGGCATAGTTTCACTGTGCTCAATGAGCATCTGGGCCCATCCACGTTGCTTCTTTGGAATTTAAAGGGCAAGAGATACAGATGAGTATATGAAGCTCATGCTGCCTGCTGTCCCTAATTTTAAAAATCTTTTAAAGACACCAAGAGTGTGGTGTCTTCTGGCAACATCTGTAAGATAATCTCAGCATTAATGACCCTTAATAGTTCTTAGTAGTGTTATCTAGCATTTGAAGCTTAAATATATTCAATGACCAGAATGATTTCTACTTTACATTTAAAATAACAAAAACAACCTATCATTTCTCACTGAATACATGCTGCAAACTATATGGTACAGAAAAACCATACTATAATGACCTTAGAGAAGAGCTAGTGTTATTTGTTTTTAAATGCAATTTATACTTTAGTCCTTTTCTTAAGCTGTATGTTATGTACTGCCTCACTTCGACATGTTGCTATTCTCCCAACATACCTTGTCTTTTTTGGCATGTATGTCTTTTTTACTCTCTACCTGTATGTTTTTAACATGATCTGTATCAAAATTCATCTGTTGTATCTTGTTAGATCATTTCATTTGTAAATGTTTCCTTTCTCCCAGAACCCCATATCTAATTCTTTGGATATATTGAGAATCATAGGTATATTTTTGTTGGACCTTATTCCGTGAGAATTAAAATGTTTTGAGCTTTCGTATTGATGATAATTTCTATAGTAAGAGCATATTCTGTATTACCTATATTACCACCTGGTGTGCCTGCATCTTTATTCAGATTCATACTCATAATCACGTTGGCCTCAAGTGATTACCAAAAATCATAACATTGAAACTTAACCTAATGTTTCTTAAACCATTGTTCCATTAAATCAACATTTATTACATGAATAGACTTGTCAGGTTGAAGTACCAGTCCTTTTTCTTTCCAATGTATGGATCAAAAGTAAACATAATTTCCTAACATAAAACTCAACACAACAAAACACACAGGGATGAAGATGGAAGATGTGTCCGGTTGTTACAGTCTTTTCCCAAACACTCTTAACTCATATCATGTTTGTAATACTTGTATCGTTGCTAATTTTACTATCGAAGGTTGTTTTTTAATTGAATTTCATTTTATACATTTTAGGAGTGAGCTACCTGAGGTCTAACCATTTACCAATTTTCACACAGTTTTCACTATGATAAATCAGTGTGTTTGGAGCTCATTAGAGTGGGATTGAACACATTTGTGGACTTCTCTTTTCATTCATAGTCCTTCATTTCTATTTCTGAACTATGTCTTTCAGTCAAGTTTAACCAACTGCTGCTCTTTTCTCACAGCTTGTTCTTTCACCTTAAACTTTTATCCTTCTGACCTGCCTGTCTCATCAGGAGCCCTCACCTCCACCTACGTTCCCATCTCTGCGCTCTGTCACCTTCAGGAAGCCTCCCCTCATCCTCTCTGCTGGAGTCTTTCTCTCTTCTCAGTTTTGCTTCATCCCATTCTCTTTTCCTTCCTATTTTGTCTTGTGTGAAAACTGACTTAAGGTGGACATTAAAGATGAATGCCGTTTACAGTTGTTTAAAATAAAAAGTAAGAAAATAGAATTTCAGAAAAAGTAAAATAAAGACATGTTAGCTGTATTTCTTTAATGCTGCTTATCACCTTACATTACACTTTTTAAAAATACGTATAATTAAACAATTTAGAAAACTTTCTGTGTCCTCATATTAGTTGAATAATAAATGTGACACAAATGCATAAACTTTTTAGTATAAATTACGAGTCTGCATGTTAGAAAATTTATCGTTGTTAAGACCTTAAACATAAAGATGTATGTTTTCTTATGAGAGGAAAAGAAAATTATAATGGTAATTTTCTATTTGTAAAGCTAAATAATTTTAATTATTTCTATTTCAATTCCCATCTAAGTTCTGGAAATTTCAGACTACAAAAGATTTTCTGTTTAAGATTATTTGGTAAAAAGAGACTATGAATGTGGCCTATTCTGTTTTTAAATTTTATCCTTCACGGTAATGCTTCAGACTTTCTATCATTATAATTTCAAAATTCAAGTTCTTGTATAACTGTTCACAGTTAAAGTGCAAGCGCTTGTATCACTGTTCACAATTCAAACAAATAAACTTTTGTATTTAAATTATAGAAATAACTGAATACTTGATATTACTACTGAGATCTCTAGTGCCATTAAGCAAGAACGTGTGGAAAGCCTGTCACCAACTACTGGTCAGAAAAGCACTGAAACCCTTCTCTGTCTTCTTACTGGTCAAGGGGTGATTTGGAAGATGATGCAAATTTGAGTTTTCTCCCTGAGAGACTGCTTTCATAAAGAGATTTGCTATGCTTACTGTTGGAAGTTTTAAAGAAACAGGTTTTGATTCCAAGCAGTAACCTAAAAAGAAAACTTCATTTTTTTCTTAAAGTGGTTTCCTACTGAATATCAAATTTTGTGTTTAGCTGAAAGATACTATGTATGTTTCACAACTGTCGTTTTAGTTTATGTTTATTTCTCTCTTAAGGAGATTATTATAGCAGTCATTCAGCAGAAATTGTTTTTAAGACTTGTTCCTGAAATGCTCTACCATTTCTATGTAAATTAAACTTATTGTGTAAGTAAAATAAACTGAGTTGTCAATTTGTTTTTAGAATGTAGTGCTGTAAGACACAAAAGAATACATGCACACAGTTACATTTTTATAGTCAAATGCCTTTGCTAATATGTGTCTTATGTTTTTATACTAGTTACATATGACACAAAAACTATATAGTCCTTAATATGTTTGGATAAATTTGCTAAACTTAAAAAGATACTGTCAACTTAAGGAGGTGGGACAATGGTATGAAAGGGGAGTTTTCAAAATAGAAGACTTTAGGGTACATGTTAGAGTTGAATGCAAAAAATAATGTTGTTAGAAATAGAAATGCTGTCATGTTAAATAGCAAACAGTATGGTAGAAAAAACAGCATGTTACTTGTGAATTTTCTCAAGTATCTCTTTCATGTCAGTATTGAATTAGTATTAAATGGAGAATTTATAATCCAGAAGAAATTATAATGAAAGATTTGATTTTTTGCTTAATATGAGTCTTTGGATTTTCTTTGAAATACATCTGGAGAGCCTCTTTAGAAATTAATAAATTGTCAATATGCTTAATAAGAAAATAGCAATTAAGCAGTCTTAAAGCATAGCTTTTTATTAAGGGATAGGATCACATTTATAGAAACAACTAAGGGCATAATTTTCCTCCTGGATCTAAATTGGTAATATCTCTTGCAAAATAGTAGAAACTTACTGAAAAAATTACATTTTTTATAAATGAGATTTATTAAAGAATGCAAGCAAGTGGTATTTTATAGGCCAGAGTTTTTTCCCCTAACAACTGAATTGGGTATTTAAAACTAGGAACAACTTAAAGTCAAGAACAATAGAAATTAAATTTTTTCTACTCAAATATTTGAATGTGTGCAATTATTTGTGTATAATACTTTATAATCTGAAATTTTGCTAGCACAGGAGATTTGGGTCATAGCTTTGTCTCAGTCACATGTGTGTGACTGTAGACGAGTATTTGTAAGCCTGTACTGTAAAGTGGGAATAAAAGTTATTTGTACTGTTGGGGAAAAGAAGATGGATATGTGTGATATTATATTCTTTGAATGAGCCATGCAAACGTTAGGAGCATGGAATAGAACTACACTGTTTAAGATTTCTAATTTACCTTTATTATTTATATTGAAAAGTTTTAATTTCCTGTGTTTTTCTGTCCTTTTTCTCTGTCTACTTACTACTGACATCAACCTTGTGCTTTTATAGTAGAGCCAAAGAAAGGAGCACTGGCCCAGATTTGGTTAACAGGCTCCGTAGACACCATCTCTCTCTGGTATCCATTCCTTTAAGCATGCTATTGT